ACTCAACTGACAAAATACTGGTTTTACTGACACAGCAAGCAGAAGCACAAAAAATACAACACAAGATTTAGTGGAATGCAATTCTAATGCAATTTTTGTTCCCTGGGAATGTGGCAGCAAGCCCTCTAATTTACAAATTAGAACAATTTAAATTAAGCCTTTATGTTGTTTCCATGCAAGAAAGAAACAAAACACCTCATGAAAACTCCTCTGGAAGAGATAGAACTAAAACTAATAGAATTTTATTTTTTTCATTTACAAGCCATGAAAACATAATATTGATTAGTATTTCTTTTCCTGTCATTAAAGTTTAGTCTACAGTTTCAGCTGACAGAACCTGATCACACTGTCCGTGAAAAAGCCCATCATTCACGGACCTTCACAAGAGACAGAGACTATCTATTAGAAAAACCACCACTACAGTGACTGATTTAAGCCTAAAAAAATGTCTACACTTTTAAAGAACAAAGCTGAGAGATCATCAAAATGTTAGTTGGTTTTGATAAGCAAAAATAATGTTTTATATTCACTTACTAGATAAAATCCAAAGGCTTTTTAACAGCATTACAGCTACTTATAGTCCTCCAGCTACATTGTAGCAAGAAAATAAAACCATCAGCGATACCAGAAAAAGTAGATGTTTGCTCAGTGCCTCACACCCACCACCACACACTGCCAGATTTGCTCTCATCTGCTGCTGCCAGTGCACATGTGCAGAATTCTAAAGAAACTTCCTGCTCATACAGATCCCATCACACTCTTAACAACAGTAGTTAATAAATAAAAAGGCTTTTGTATCTTGTGTAACAGCTAATTATATTCATCCTACTCGCCACCCCCCAATGCAAAGCTCTACTCCACCAACCACACACATCTCACTGCCCCTGCATCAGATAATGCAGAACTTTGGTGCAATGGCATTATAAAAGTCCAGTAAAGTAACAGACAGGAAGAAATTATCAGCAAAACTATGCAGCTTGCGAGCTTCACGTTATAAAACCAAAGCAGTTTAACAATTGTCACTGCTGCTAAAACAGACTTTGGAACAGAAGTCAAGCTATCTCAGAGACACCAAAAAAGCAAACTATAAATATATAATGCATTTAATTCATTATACATAAGTTATCCTATTACATACATTTATCATCAGTTTGTTCCTCCCCTCCCAAACAGGTAAGCAGAAATACACACTGGAACTCAGCAGATCACAAAATGGTTCACAGCCCCTTTGCTGTTGAAACACTGCCTCTGTCAGAACCTTGAGCACGTGCCACCAAAATAAAGGACAGACTCAGCACCCCCACTGCAGGAGAAAGACAATTCAACGAAGAGTTCAATGCCGCAGCAATGATTCTCTGAATTTCTAGAGATGGGGAAAGGAAAAAAAAAAAGACCAAAAAAAAAAAAAAAAAAAAAAAAAACTGGTACTGAGGTCTCCCATCAAAATTTGATTATAACTAAATTTTAAGAAATCACCTGAAATCATAAGGTTAAGAGTAACATTGCGAACTAAAATTAACTAACCTGATTATATTTCTAGAGTTCCAAGACAACAAAAGATTTCATTAAATGTGAAGTTCAGCAGAAAGGGGAGAAAACCTTTCAAACATACAGACTTTAAAAAGGATATAAAGGAAGAAAGAACCACATTCATAAGATTCCATCTCTCACCTTTTCAGTTTTGTCCATGTATTATTATCCTACACAGCTGAGCACAAATTTTAATCCTAACACACTGCAGGGAACACTGAACAGAAGAGACACATGAGGAGAGCTGCCAGCGGCACTGGAACCTGGACAATCAGTGCAGGGTTCCCACCAGACACAGGGCTCAGATCCAGCAGATGCCCCACCCAAATGTCCTTAGAAATGTCCAAACAGTGAAGAAAATAAAAACCATTTAAACCTCTCTATAGGAAAAGGCCTCTGCAACCACAGTCTTTGTTACAAGCTATTCGAGCACAAATATAAAGCCCTATCTGTATCTTAAGCTCATATGGCATATTTTTCTTTTTTTTTTTTTTAAGACAAATATAAAGGATTTCACACATTCACAGGGGAAAGACCACAAGGGCAGAACTATTATTATCACAAAAGAACTATTTTCACTTATCAGAATATGGGTCTGCAAAATATCACCCATTTCTTGTAGCAAAGGACTCCACCCATATGTTGCAAACATAACAGGTTTTGACCTTCTAAACTATGTTTTTAAGACTTCAAAACAAATTAGCTCTACAGAAAAAAAAGCCTGGTAGAAGATGTAGTAACAAATATACTATGTTTTAGGGTGCAATAATCCACAGAATTCACTTGAACTGACTGAACTTCCACAAATCTGAAGAGCTGGCTATCAAGCCAATACAAACTGTGGAGATAAATTTGAATTTACCAAACCTTGAGACAGCTAGTCCTTCTCAAAATTTTTGCAGGTAAAACCTCTCACCTTACAGAAAGTAATAGTCATCAAGACTGAATTGCTCAATTATACTAACTTTCCAGGGAGCAATGGAAAATTCTTGTATTCTCTGCCTGAATCCAATTTTGACAAGAGACATAGAGCTCCTCTGCTGAAAAACTGATAGAGGCATCACTTTACAAACTGCATGACAAGTAACAGCCTCCCTCTTCCATAGCCCTTCGCAGAAGATTTAATATCCTTCACTTCTGTATCTACTCCTCATATGTTTTGGATAAAGTGTTATTTTTCAGTTCTTAAATAACAGTCCTCACATCTGAAACGACCAATAAATATACAACTAGGCCTGCAATGCAAGGAAAAAAGTTTAAAAAGTTTGCCATCCTTCATCCTTCAGATGCAAATGATGACCTGCCCTGCATGTAGTTAATTCACTCCCACCTAAATGGCCACTGGATTTTTGTGTACTAATATGGCAGTCAGATTAACGTGGTGCTATGCACGGAATTAGAAGAAAACTTGAAGCATTTTCTTACCAACATCACTTCCTCTTCCATGTAGCTGCAGCTTCTTTTGTGGGGGATGGGGAAAAAAAGGGAACCACCACACAAAAAAAAATAAAAAATCCAAACTAAAAAAATCACCTCAGACTTGGCAGGTTTTTCTCATTTCCAATGAGCTCTGGAAAGGGCATCACTGCTCAGCTGTAACATTTGACAAGTAATCAAAAGGCTGAGTATCAGAAAAGGAAAAAACTCTACCCCATAAAGCTTTCCCACACAGCAAGAAGGGACTCAAAACTTTCTGATGTCTGTTCCAAACACACAGAATATTTCTTCAGCCTCGCCTGCTTTTGCAAATATGCCATTATGTACATTAGAAAGCAAAAATGCTTCACTGCTTGCACAGGTTCTCAGGGTATGAGCCACACATGACAAATGTTACATTAAGTCTTTTAATGAGTGTAAAAAGATCCTCCAGTGTTCCAAGCAACACAAAAATGAAGTGCCCAAACTAACATAGAGCAGATTAAAAACTATCATTTGCCAAACTCAGATGTTTTGACATGTTGTTCATGTCAAAATCTGCACACATTAAAAGCTACCAGGAGCCTCTCTGAGTCGGCTTCCTTAAATACAACCATGGGACACTCTACTTGATTGATTTTTCTAAAACAATACTTTAAATTTCCAGTCTGATGCTTTCAAAACATTGAGGTATTTAATTCCTTATTGTTACATAGTTGAGACAAGGAAAGAATCCCTATGGAGCCAAACAATGTATAAAATACAGACAAAGAACATTAAAACAGATTCTAAACATCTTCAAGTCTACGCAACAAAGAACACATAAAGCAATGTACTAGTAATGAGCAGTAAAAAAAAAAAGAAAACAAACGAAATAGTAAAACTGCTTATAGTATAAGCTAACAAATCAGCTTTCTTTTCTTTTTATGCTGCAGATTAAACTGCATGGAAGACAGGAAAACTTCAAACCCAAATGCTAATCCAGTTTAACAATTTGTTCTAAATTCACAAACTAACAATTCCATCCCTGAGGACATTCAGGAACACATGTCCACGAAAAAAATAAACAACTGTGTAGTTTTTTATGTATTCACTTTCTTTTTTTTCTTTTTTTTAACATGCAAGAGTTATTACGTGGTATTTTCTTTCTTCCTCTGTTACCTCTTTTCCCCATCTTGAGCCTGGCAGCAGTAAGAAATTTTGTAAAACTTTCTCAAAATGCAGCCAGACCAAGGAAGTTGAGAATAAGAGAGCAGCGCATTAAAAGCTGGCGTTGCAGTATGTGATGGCAGGTTTTTTGTTCTGGGGTTTTGTTGTATTTTTCCAAACCTTGAAGGAATTGAAGGAGCAGCCCAACACCGGGACATCTCATGTTAAAGCTACTTTTTGATAGCAAGAAACATTTCCACGCAAATCCCTGAGGAGCTTCCCTAACAATGGAAACCCACAGCAGCAAACCCTTCGGAAAATACATTTGGTCACAGGCTGGGGCGTTCGGATGACCCAGCCTTCTTAATGCCAGCGCTGCTTTCGTGACCAGAGGCGATTTAGTGACTGCCCTTTTCCAACTTTGGGAGCGAGCTGGCTGTCAGGGAGCTGCGGGGCTGCTGTCAGCGCGCCAAGGCCGCTGGCAGGGCTGCCCGGCGGGCGGAGGGCGCAGCCCGGGCGCGCAGCTCCCGGAGGAGCCGGGTGCCAGCGCTGCCTGCGCGGTGCCCCGGCACAGCCCGGGAGCCGCTGCCGGCCCCGGACAGCTCCGTGCGGGCACCGGGCAGGAGCAGCTCCCGCGCCCCGCTCGGGCCGCTGCCAGAACGTTCCTGAAGCGACACCGAGCCGGGACCCCCGCGCATGCGCCCCGCGCCCCTCACCGTTGCCGGGTGACTCGCCCTCCCCGCCGGCCTCAGCACCACCAGCAGGTTCCTCCGCCTCTTCCTACCCCCGGGAGCCGGCGCGGGCCTCTCCTCGCCGCTCCGCTCTCCTCGCAGCCCTCCTCCGCCGGCCGCTGCCCGCGCCGTGTGCCGCGGCCGCCGCGCTGCCGGAGCCGACGCCGTCCGTGCCCTCACAGCCGCTCCGAGCTCCGAGCCGCGAGCGGGGGGTCCCCGACGGCAGCGGCGGCGACGGGCGGAAGTGACGCGCTGACTGACAGGTGCAGAGCGCGCGCCCCCCGCCCGCCTCCCCCCGGCGGTCACGTGCGCGGGGCGGGGCGGGCGCTGAGGGCGGGCGGGACCCGCGCCCTGAGGGGAGCGGGCGGCGGGTGCGGGTCGGGGTCGCCCCGGAATTAACGCTTTCCTCATGTTCTGGCCCGCACCGCCCTGTGCCGGCTGCGAGTCACAGAATCAAATAGCTTGGGGACCTCTGAGCTCATCGAACCAAGCCTTGGACCGAGCATCACCGCGTCCACCACACCAGGGCACTGAGGGCCGCGTCCGGTGTTTCCTTAAACACCTCCCTGGACAGCCCATTCCAATGTCCGATCACCCGTTCTGTGAAGAAATTCCTTCTCCTGTCCGACCGAAACCTCCTCTGCTGCAGTGTAAGATTCTCCTTTCATCCCAGAGAGTGACCACGGCCAGTAGTGGCACCAGGCAGGCTCGTACCCTGCTGGCTTTGGTTGGACACAGGAGAAATTTCTCCACAGAAAGGGTGATAGGACACTGGAACTGGCTGCTCAGGGAGGTGGTGGTGTTCCCATCCCTGGAGCTGTTCAAGAGAAACCTGGACGCTCAATGCCATGGCCTGGTTGACATAAGTTGGACTTAACGACCTCAGAACTCCTTTCTGGCATAATTGATTCCAGTTTTGCTTTTCTCATAACCATATTAAAATATTTCCTGTAAATCTTCTGAATTGAAGCATCAAGAGCAATCACTGCCAAACGTTTCCCAAATGTTAAGCGTGCCAGAAGTAATGAAGTGCCCTTTGACAAAGAGCTAATGCATTTTGAAACACAAAATTTAGCACCCTTAAAGTGAGTTAGCATAAGTTAGAGAGGAGATGCAAGCTTACACCCGAAGTGTTAAAACCAGTGCCTGGCAGTCTGTGGTTCCCACATGCCACGCTGAAACTACAACAGCTTTTTCTGTCATGCAGTGCCAGCAGCCATAGGTGGTGGGTTTAATAAGGCATTTAAGGGAACTTGGATTTAGTTAGTAAAAATCCTCTCAGGAAAAGCTTTTTTTTTCTCCCGTGAAAAACTGACAAAGAGTATATGAAAGGGGGAGAAAAATTATACAAGCAGTATGGGATTAATTGAAACCTCTGTATTTTCAATAGCTGGGAGGATTTTTTTTCAGGTTTTCCTGCATGGGTTATGAATTTTATCTAGATATACATTTATAAGACTCATTAAAAGATTTTGCATTTAGAATCCAAAGATGGGCGAGTCATAACCCTACAGTAAATTAACGTGGGTTTAATCAGATCTAAAACTGTGTTTTCCTGGTGGAAGATTTGGTGTCATTAGGAGGTAGCACACAAACCCAATAAAACATGTAGGGTTGGGGGAAATGGCCTTTCAGGAGGTCTGTGTGTGCTCTCTGTCTGTTTCCACAGCAGACTTCTCCATTTGAACCACTAATAAAATTTCCTCGCATCAGGATGAGGTTTCTGAATTTGTATTTTGTATACATAGCCGTGTTCTTTCTGATTCATTTAGCCTCATCAACAACAATAAAGATACTGAATCAGAACAAGCTGGCAATTTTGTTGATGAAACATGGGGGAGAGCGGACTCCAGCTGGCTCTTCAGCAGATCCATTGGCCAGTTGACAGAAATAAAACTGCAAGAAACCTGACACAGAAAGCACACGCGGTGAGAGGAGACAGGCAGCAGAGGCAGGCAGGTAGGTAGGCACTGCACAGCACCTGTTTGCTGGTTTTGAGTCCAAGGCAGTGGTTTCTCTCCTCTGAACTGGCTCCGAACACACCATTTCATGCCAGCTTATCCTACCTCCTTTCAAAGGCTTCCAAGGCTCCTTGCAGGGGGCAGACATACGCAGTCCCAGGCTGCCATTTTAGGCTTTTCTGCTCACTTTGTGTTCTTGCTGTCTACTTGACAACCCAGGAGTCACAGAGCCATAGAATATCGCAAGTTGGAAGGGGCCCATAAGGATAGAGTCCAACTCTCTGCTCCTCACAGGACTGTCTAAAGCTAAACCATGTGACTAAGAGCATTGTCCAGATGCTCCCTGAACTCTGGCAGGCTTGGCGCTGTGACCAATTCCCTGAGGAGTCTGTTTCAGTGGCCAACCACCCTCTCGGTGAAAATCTTTTCCTTATGTCTAGCCTGAACTTTCCCTGACACAACTTCTTTCTATTTTCTCAGGTTCTGTTTCTGGTCATTGAAGAGAAGATCAGCATCTCCCCTTGCCTTTAAGGGAAGCTGCAGGGTGTGATGAGAGCCCCCCTCTGTCTCTTCATCTCTGAGCTGAACAAATGCCGTGAGTTAATCTGCTCTTTGTAAGAATTTCCCTTGAGACTTTTCACCATCTTAGTCTCTGTCTGGTGCTTTACCCACATTTTCTAAGATAGTAAATAGAGAGAGAGAAGAGAGGCAACAACTTAATGAGTGGCTGCATGGTTATATCCCCAAAATTCAGCTGTTGAAAGCATCTGCCTCTCAGATCACTGCTAAACATCACAATAGAGCAATGTCCATTAGCTGTTCCCGCTGCATTTACCGCTGTCTCAGGCACACCTGAATTGCGAAGGCAGCATTTCATATTCCTCCCCGTCTGGTGCTGTGCAGGCTGTGGAGCTCCCAGAGCCTGGTTTCCCACTCCAAACCCAGGGCACATTCAGAGCAGGGCAGGGCTGCTGTCCCGCCATGTGACACAGCACTGTCACCCCATGTCAGGAGGTGTGACGCTGCACTCCCTGTACAGTGACACAGCCCAGAGTGAGGCTAATGAGGAGCAAAGGACTCATTGCCCAGCTGCTGCACAGCTCCAGGAGCTTGGCGGGTACAACTGGTCAGCATCTGGCTCCTGGGACTGAAGAGCCAGAGTGCCGTGGCATCCCTGTTTCATCGGTAAATCCACGTCCAGAGCCACACCATGAATGGGGAGCTATTTCTGCAGCTCAGTGTGTTTTCTTACAAGTCCTTGCAGAGATTGACTGCTAAGTGCTTACAAAGTAACTCAGTAGATCTGAAATAGTTACTAGTGTATTTCCCCTGTTTTCAGGAAAAGCTATTCATAAGCACAAATCACTAGTGCCTGTATGTGTCACAGAAGAGCTGGAGCCACGTTTCCTTCATGTATCCCCAGTTCCCATCATGACCTAGTATAGTTTGAGAATAAATATTCTCTGAAGAATTTAGCTTCCAGTTAAGTCTACTTCCAGCAAGAGCCCTGCATTACACCTCATCAGAAGTTGAAGAAACTGAAAGAAAAATATCCTTATCCCAACTGTGCTCAGTGTTGTACAAGGCTTAGTAAAAACTGAGCTAAAATACTCCAGAACTTAAATCAGCTTTGCAAAGCCATAGAATCCTTGGAAGGTTGATAGCCTGGCCTGCAATTCCTTACCTTCATATTAGGTTATTACCTTACTAGGAGGAAATGGGCATCTGACACGTAGCAAAACAAGACACTGTCTGTTGTAATATCTGTGTATTATATGCCAAACAGTTTTTCCTGAAAATTATCTGTATGTCAGCAAACTGTTTGCTTTTGGGTTTAATTGTGTACCTACAAATTATTTGATACATTCTTCTGAACTTGGAATTGCTCAATTTTTGCTTTAAGTGGATCCTATTCATATCTTGCAAAAAATATTGACAGCGAGTCCTTTTAACACCAAGGAAGAATTAGCAAACCCTTTCCAACTGGATGCTCTGCAAAGAGCTTTCCTTTCCTGTATACTTCATCCACAAACAGACATGTCCCCAAGCATTGTAGTGTTTTCTAACAAACACTGTGTTTCAGGATGCCCAGCACATGGCACTTGGTCTTTCTGAACATCCATAACTCTTCATGGAAACTCTCGTATCAGCAAGTATTCAGTTGTTCTAATTCATGGTGTCCAAAAAGGTACCTAAGAATCAAAGTTAATTTTTAAAGCTTTGCCCTGTATTAAAAAATGAGGCTTCACAACACTCAAGCAAACAGGTTAAAGAATCTATTTTATAGAAACTCAAACTCCAGCCAAGGGAAAACCATTCATCATTTCAAAGACTGTCAGCCATTACTAGACACATATGTAAGGATTTCTTAAAAACTGAATTCAGTATCAAAGGCACATGTTCTGCGTAAATGTCAGACATTTTTACTCATTTTTCTACTAGAGTTCTGTGATTAAAATAAACATTTACAGCATTAGGTTTTTTTTCCCCTGCTTCTGAACATTTTTTGGATCTGAATCTTGGTTTTAGAAGATCTGTCTTTAAAGTAGAAATCTAGGAATATGGGTCAAATGTGTCTTTTAAGGCTTGTTCATATTTTAATTGCATGGTTGCAGACTTAACAAGAGATAATTCTTCCCTCCTTGAAATTCAAGACATCGAAAGGTTAATTCAGTCTTCTCAATTCCATTTCCTTCCGTCTGTTCCCCTTCCCACACTCCTCCCCACCCCCATCTGTAGACAGCTGAGTTATTTGAATTTTGTGCAAGCTAGTATTCATCCAAAGGGGAAAATCACTCAACATATGCACCAGGCAAGAGAAAATTGCAGTACTGCACACTTACATTTTTTACTTCCTATTTGCTTTCCTCTGTGTTCACCAGCTCGGGCTGTGGACATACACACTCGAGCCCCAAGGATAGAGTTAACTCAAATTAAAGCTTGTGTGTCCCCATGGCTGTTGAATTCCCAATCTTTGCACTCACATGGAATCTGTGCTGAAGCTGCTGTGGTGCTTTTACCTTGGGTTGAGGAAAGGCTACAGTTCCTGTTACCACAATTTGTCAGCTGCCAACACAATCACTCTCTGCTGCTCCCATGTTATTTCATGGTGTGGTCACTCATACTCAAGGTACACTAACTCCAGAGGAGTCACTTTGACAGAGCTCAGATTAACCCAGGGATGAAGACAGAGCTTTAATCCAACTGATTTTGGCACTTTACATACAATTGCAAGGAAAAAATCAATAAAAGTACTCATTAAAAATGTTCTAGCTTGCTCAGATTCTGAAGAAATAGATGTTCACTTCAGATGCCAAGATAGGTAAACAGTATCATCTTTCTTTATTCTCTTTTTCATATTTTAAAAAAGAAAAGCAGTGTCTAATGTACAATACTTGCAGCTTTCATGGAAAAGGCAGAAGTTAACAGATGTGGAACTCATTTATTACCATTTTCTTACATAATTGTTGACCTTGTACATGATATGTATAACAAGCTTATAAAATTGGAAAATAATTTTTGGAAAAGATGATGGAGAAATACAAGTTTTTATTCTGTAAATTGCTCAGAATAATCAGCTAGAAAAGATAACTTGGCCTTTTCTGTTCCTTTGCTTCAGCAGCCTTGTGTTCTTAAGCAGCTGGAAAACTTCAAGGTTTATCTTCTCCCCAGACATAAAACCACTCAAGCTACCATGAGGCCCAGGCTATTGAGAGTGGAATGATTTGGCAACACAAAGTTCTGGTGAGGTGCCCCTGAAAACTACATCCATAGCCCTGAGTCCCAGGAATGAAGAATTCCTCACCTCTGAGCTACCCCAGCACATATTGTAATAACAGACTCACCTATTGTCCTTTTTCTCTGGACAAAAGGAAAATCTGAAGTTAACATAAAGTTAGTAGATCTGTGGATTTTATGATTTTTGATCTGTCTTCTCCTGGATTATGTTGGTTATCTATTTGCTGCACAGTGGGTGCCACAATTTGAATGGTAATGTTTCTCCTCTGTGAAGAAAAGAAAGGGAGAACCTCAAGAGTGGATTGTTTAATTCCAGAGCAGCCAGCTACACTGAGAAAAGCCATGTTTGAGTACACTCCCAATGCTCATCCAATATTTCCCTGTCTTGCTCCTTCCCTAAACTGCTGCTTGCAGGAGGTGCTTCTGTCCAGGGACAGAAAAGAAGAAGAAAACAAAAGGCTGTTAAAGACTCAAAGTCATGCTAAACTTGTGTCTCTGCACCAGTATTCATCACAAACTGTCATGTGCTCTGTAGCACTAGCTAATGTGACTAACACATCACATGCTTCATTCCCCACCCTGGCTTTGGGGAGAGAAGCCTGTGTATGGACATTCTGTATTAATTCTACTTTTTCCTTTACTAGTTCATGCATGGGTCAACACATTTTGCTGGAAGGAGCCAGGCCAGAGCCAAGTACTTTGTGCTGGAAGACATGCTTTTGGGTCAGTTCTTGAGAAAGCTCTGCTGCAAGAAACTCCATCTGGTTAAACTTCGAAAAATTCACCCCCATACCAAGTTTTATAATATAAAAAAAGAAAAAAGAGAGAGAGGAAATTTCTACTCCCACTAGCTTATGTTTTTTCCTTTTGCTCTTTGCTGCAACAGGGCTTCTGGTATAGACTTGCCTGAACTCCTGAGCTATTTGGAAAACATGGGGTTGGAAAAGATAGCCCAAGGAGAAAGACTATCTAAAACTGCCTCTCCTCACCCCTCATCTTCTGCATGTACCTACCCTCAAGGTTCAGTGGTCTTGATAAGGAAAATGAAACACCTTAGGTAACGATGAAATGTCCAGTGTAAAACAAGTGTGGAGTATTTACTGACTGGCAGTGCAGCATTACAGCAGAGTCTGCCAAAGAGGGATCAGTGCCTTCCTTACACCCCCAGCATTCATTGTCTTTTAGCCTGGGAACCTGTCTCCGTTCCCAAACAGGGATATTTTTTTTGGCAGCAAGATGGAACAAAAGGCACAAAGAGAACTAAGAAAACCCTTTCAGTGAAGCTGTAGTCTTTTCTTTTTCCTGCTCCCCTGAGGACGGGAAACCTTCTTAGGACAGCTCGTAAGATATCCAATCCTGCTACCTGCCTGGAAGGTGCTCAGTGCTCACAGAGACCTACAGGAATTAAGGTCTGTGCAGATTCCAGCCCAGCTTTCAGCCTTGACAAATTGATCCCCTACCTTTAGCACCAAAAATACCACAGCATTTTGAAAATGAAATCACTGTTATATTTGAGTGGGTGTGTTATTTCGAGACAGCACTAATGTGATTATAAAATCAGTTGTGTCAGCTTATTGGCTCAGCTACAGACACTGATCTGCTTGAGCGTCTGTTCCTCTACCCAGCTACTTGCCTTAGGGTGCTTTGTCCCCCCTCAGCTCCCGGTAGAAATAGAGACCATTTGGTTCCCACTGCTGCACTGAAGAGAAAGAAACCCCTTCTTCTGGCAGTTGCCCACCTCGTCTCTATGAAACTTGGCATTTCCAGAGCACCTCTTGTGCCAAACACAAGCACAGCATCCCCCAGCCCGCTAAAGACTACACCCCATAGATGTGTGTGTGTGTGTGTATGTACATATATATATATGTATATATATGCATCCATGTATATATATGCACAGGCTGGGCATGCTGCTTCCAAGTGACAGCAGCCAAAGGAACAGGTCAAGCGGCAGCAGGGTCCAAACCTCCCAGCTTCACTTTTCAGACTCTTCACTTGAGCTCCCTCTAAACGTTTCCTCTCACCTATTACCGAATCCTGGGAGCAAGTGTTTGTTTTTCCTGCTGCTCCGTGGGTGTCTGACAGACTCGGTGCCTTGTGCTGCCAGGCACGGTTTAATGCTGTCAATGGCAGGTGACTCACTGGTATCAGAAGTGTCAGTCCTGGCAGGTTTGACTCAGTCCTTCATCTTTTGGCAGCAAATTGAAATAAAATAAAGTTTCCATTGTATGAGGCAGCTTTTCAGGCACAGCCATACCAGTGTAGCTTTATATCCTTCATGTGTAGAGCATCTGTAAAGATTCTATAGTCTACATGCTCCACTGGCTTCCTGGTTTTTCACATTTCTACACGCTTCATTCTTTTGCCTCTGTGCAACATGAAGAAAGTTGAGGTTTTCATTACAACCACAGTCTTCCCAAGGCCAGGTAAATGCCATGTTCCCCTTGCTGAACACAGTGACTCTGAAATCCTGCAATTAAAAACCTGACAAAGAACAGCTTTTCTGCTCATACAGCAAAAATATTTCCATTACTAGTGAAAGGAAAAGGCATTTGAGTAAGATATTACCTACCCATCTTTACCTCAAAGTATGCAGTGCCCTCAGGCCAAATTCCAAATTTTCCATATGTAAACTGCATCCAGCTGTGTGTGCTGCCATGAGTATATAAACATGAGGTTTGAATCCCACACGAGCTGTGTTTGACCACAGCACTGAATTTACAAGCTACAGAAACTTGACAGGCACTTTATACAATGGTCAAGATGTTTGTTATGGAGATGAGTATCTCCTGATTTCAGCAGAGTGAGAACGTGTAAGTTCACGTCATGATGCTATTTGGCTCAACACTGTTACACCTTCCTCACAAACCCAACCCAATATCAATTAAAAACTTGGTCATTTTCAGCCTAAAAACCCAAACAATGTATCCAAAACTGTTTAAGTATTAGGTTGGACAATAAATTGGGCAATTAAAGTGGTAGTGGTGGTGAAAACAAGCATGCTCACCCTGTCTTAGCATGTTTAGAAGAGCCTGAGCTCTGCTGTGGATCCTGGGGGCAGAGCCTGTGACTGGACACAGACAATCAAAAATGAGGTTCTTCTGCTTTGCTGTTCTGAGCACTTTGCTCTCTGCAACTGAGAGAACTTGTGCTACTCTTGAAGTTTAAGAGGTTTTGTCCTTTTAGTCTCTCTTCATAATCAGAATTATAATTGCTATTTTTAAAAATGGACAAATATTTTAAAAACTGAAACTCATTAGCTGCCTGGATTCATGAATCACTCAGATTATGTTTTAAAGTCTTTTCTGATCTAAATCTTGTGTCCAGCCAAACAAGAGGTTAATGCTCTCTCTTTAAACAGACACAAAGGCTCTTCAGTGCCAAATCTCAGCTTTGGTTTACACCAAATATTCGCCCAGTGGCTGCCTTCCTGCTTTTTCCCAGGGGGTTTCAGTCAGGAACACAGCTTTCTATTTCTGACAACTGGTTGGATATGTGGGATGGAAGCAAAGGAACCGAGTCCTGACATTAAATATGGTGCACACACAGACATTTGGTGTGGTCAGTGCAGATGCAGAGATAACCGAGCCAGCCTGCACAAATCCCATAGGCAAGGAAAAACCTTTAAGATCAAGTCCAACCACAAACCTGTTCATTGTTTTAGTTTAAACAAACATTGTAAGAGGTCCTTAAGACAAATTTAAGCACATTAAAACCATTTTCTCCATGCACACATATCAGACTCAAACCCACTCTACCTAAGCCTGTGGTGCCAACAGAAAGATCCACAGGCCTTCCAGGGGCTCTCAGTCAGCTGAGAGACATCTCTGTCCCTCTGAGCTCACAGCTCAAGCTGCCTTACAGTCAGTAGAGAAAACCAGGTACTCCTAGGGCACAATTAATTTTATCCCAACTTCATTGCCTCCCTTCTGGCTGCCGTTCCAGACAGGAATTTCAGGTGGGGGCACTGAAAGGTACACAAGAGGAAACCCACACCAGTATCCAGAAGGATGCACACAGCCTTTTTCTCCCTGCTTCCAGATCCGTGGGCTGAGGGAGGCACCAGCAAGTGAATTAACAGCTACCAAAACAGGGACAAGCAGAAATTCATTGTGCATCCCTTCAGGACACATTCCTGGATGTCACTGTGGTGCCTGGGCTGTGCTGATCTCAGACTTGGCCCTTGGTCACGGCAGTCACACCATGGCTGTGCTGAGAGCCCTCCAGAGCCCCGAGCTTGTGCCTCTGCCAGCCTGGGCAGGCAGGGATGATCCCCAGTGCGTTGCTGAATGCACCTACAATCCCCTCCTCAAAAAACTCATCTGGCAGCAGCAATCCCCAAACCTCAACCTTACTCCGAACCTCAGCACTGGGAAATGGTGGGAAGGGAAACTTCAGTATGATTGTCATGGTAAATGAAGAGAACAGAAAAAAAGAAAAATCAAGATGTAATTTGGCAGCTTTCCATGCCAGTTTTCCCATTTCCCTCCCTCATGCACTTTCTGCAGGAGCAATCTGTCCTTTCCCTAAACGCTGAGCAATCCCAGCACTAAACTAATCAATATTAATAGCGATGGGTTCGGGAGGGGGGAGGAGGGGAGAGGAGAGGAGAGGCGAGGAGAGGAGGGATTACCCTGACCTTTTTCAACTCACACTGCCTCAGACAGCCACCAAGCAGCTGAAGAGAGAGCAGCCAGACGGTAATGCCATGTGGTTTTAGTAGCTTTTCATTTTTTAAATTTTTTTTTTCCTTGTGAATATTTACTCTGTTGTCTCAGTGCAGATAGCAATGAAATGTGATTTTCTGCAGGAAGGAAAAAATTTCATTATATCAGCCATCTCCGGGCCAAGCATTGCCTTGATGGGAAACTCCACTGAAATAAGGGAAATAATGCCCAGGCTGGATTTTAACTTGAATTTCTTAATAAAAGGAGGAATTGGATTAGGGAAGTTTTGACAGGTGAAATGCTTGTGTGCTTTGTGAAATTCTCTTTATTATAATAGAGTATAATCAAAGCCATTGAGCTGTGACTGGGATATGGAGCAAGAGCAAACAAAGGACTGGGGGAACCAGTCCTCTATTGTTATGCTCAAGTGTCCACAGGAGCTCAGGGGATGGATGTACTCAGAACAGGGGGCTCAGAATGAAAGACAAATCCTATTGATTAAAAGAAAATCATATTTGAAGCTCTTTGTTCCTGTTGGATTTGGGGTTAATTGTAGATTTTTCCAGTTAGCAGCATTTCTTAAAATACGGGTTTATGTCAGAGGGCACTGTGGATTACTGGCAATTAATAATTGTCTCTTTATTACAGGTTATTCTTGTTGCCATGTGCAAAATATGATTTTTAGAAATTATATCTGAGAAATCTAGAGAAAATGCTATTTATGTGTTTCCTCTTCTGCTCTGAAAGAGCCAAGCCTCAGGGAAAGGTCCCAGATTGAGTGTTAGGTTTGTGGAGGTTTTTGAATAAACATTTTTATGGTATTTTCATTTTTTTTCTCTTGAGGAGAAAATGCTTTGCAGATGGCTGGTATCACAGCACTAGCTAATGAAGCCATGGGTGTGTTTTCCCTTTCTTTGTCAGGACCCATCATGTCCGACAAACCAGATTTTGCAGAAATTGAAACATTTGACAAGACCAAGCTGAAGAAGACAGAAACCAGAGAGAAAAATCCACTGCCCACTAAAGAAAGTAAGTGCTTATGAGGCTATTTGAAGTACGAGTAGCAAGGACATAATCCATATGCAGTTCATATGCAAAATGAATACTAATCACAGGATTACAGGCTCAAACTCATCCCTGACTTTAAGTGGGGATAATACTAAGACTCTATACTGGGCTTCCAAGGATATCAGTAATTGTAACCAGCAGTGCATTTTGTCTGGAAAACCCTTTCTGATGGGATTGCTCTTGCTTCTGCTGAAAGCAAGACAGTGTTCCCACTGGGTGCTGGTAACAGGATCAATCTGTTTGTAATGACCTTGTTACCAGCCCCTCTGCAGGCACAGGGGACCCTTTGCCCATCCCTGGCAGGCCAGGCAGCATCCCCAGAGGGTGCTGGGCTCTGGATTTAGTGTTATTAGGCAGATGAGCTGCTGCCTCCCACTGGTACCTGCTGTCAGCCCTGGGCAGGAGACCCTCCAGGCACCTTCTCTGGGAATAAGGCTGCAAGCAAAGCCATCATCATCCTCATCTAACAGGCAGTCTCCCTCAGAAAAGCACCCCTTAGCTTTTCTCGTGTGGGCTCTTCTCCCATACACACTGTGCACAGGCAGCCAGATAAAGCTGGGATTCATGTTCAGCTCCAGATATGAAAAGAGCATTTGGAGCAGATTTTGAGATTTGAGCAGTTTCCTTCAGAAGAGAATTGCTAATCACTGTGGATGTGTGTGCTGATAGCCATGCACACACACAGTCTCAATGTTACATACCGGGTTTTTCCTCTGTTCTATTATCCCTGCCAATGCTAAAGCTGTAAATACAAGAGGAGCTTTGCACACCATGACCTGCTCCCTTCTAGCTATGCAGATGTGGGAATGAGTTGTCATTTTCAGGGTGATCAAAACAACCAATTATGGATTTAATTCTCTGGCTTTGAGTATGACCATAGAAACTGGTATCCTGCAGAACCATTATCATTGAATCACAGAATGGTTTGGGTTAGAAAGGACTTTAAAGATCATCTTGTTTCAACCCCACACCATGGCCAAGGACACCTCCCACTAAATCAGGTTACTCCAAGACCTCCATACTGGCCTAGAACATTTCCAGGGATGGGGCAGCCACAGCTTCTCTGGGAAACCTGTGCCAGGGCCTCACCACTCTCACAGGGAGGGATTTCTTTTTCACATCTAATCTAACCCTGCCTTCTGTCAGTGTGAAAGCCATTCCCTGTTTTTCTGTCACTCCAGACCCTTGTTCAAAGTTCCCCTCCAGCTCTTTTGTAGCTCCTTTAAGTGCTAGAAGGGATTCTAAAATCTCCCCAGACCCTTCTCTTCTTCAGGCTTTACACCCCCAAAACTCCCTCAGTCTGTCTCTATAGGAAGGCAAAGTTTATTGTTCATAAACAGTAAAGTTCACTGATGGTGTTTTTGTTTCCTGTTTTTCTGCCAGCTATCGAACAGGAAAAGCAAAGTGAAAGTACAGCCTGAGCATAAAATTGAAGATGTGGACTGCTGCTTCTTCAGTGGGGTTTTGGCTTTTGAGTTGAGTTGTTGTTTTATTTTGTCCCTCCCACCACATATTTGTTGCCCATTTATTTTAGGAAGCATTTGTTCATTTAATGTTCACTGAAGAAGTTTGTTTTGTGTTTGTTGAAGAAGATACTATGTATTTGTATTCTTAAAATTATAATTCCAAGTTCTGTATCAACCCCATTACTTGGCAAAAAAAAAAAAAAAAAAAAAAAAAAGGGCAATTTTCATATAAATTGTTTTCCTAAACCTCACAATAAACAGATTTCTTCTGACCAACTGTCTTTGAGCCTTGCAGAAATCAAGCTTACACTGCAACTCTTATTAACATCCTTCCCCCCCTGTTTGCATTTCCACAGCAGCTCAAGGGTTTGGGCAGGGTTACCCCAGGCACTCACAGGTTCCTTGGCTGGAACACAGCCCCTCTCCACCACCTGTATCCTGCAGAATCCCAGAGCCCCAGATGGCACCAATCCACAGGAACCCCCTGACTGCCTTCACAGCAGCCTGGAGACTTCACCCCCGTCCCTTGTGTCACTCAAGGTGCTTCTTGGGAACCCTGAGGGACAAACTGTGTGTGCCAGGAGCTTTGAAACCCCCAGCCTGGCAGCAGGCATGGGAAAGAGGGGAAGCCACTGGCCTGCTTCAGTCTTGTTCAGCAGTAGGTTAGAGGTTCTAGAGACAAGTACCCACTTACAAATTCCATGCCAAATTGATGGCTGGGCTGAGGACATATTCAAATTAACATTCCAGATAAAGAAAAGGGCTGCAGCACGCTCTCCACTGCTTTTTTATCTCTCTAACTTGCAAAGATCCAGTCAACCTTGTGATAACTGCAGCACAAACACAGCCTTTGGCCCATGTCATACCAAGTAATACAAGAATGAGGGAAGGTGGAAGGAAGAAAGAAAATTAAGTATTGCATTAACTTTTAGGGATGAGAGAAAGATCTTTAGCAGCACAGGGGTATAAGACACAAACCTTCAAAGCAAGAAAGGACTCCCTACATCTTCATCACTGGTGGAGCAATAACATCTCCTCACAGGTCTGCAGAGGACTTGGCAAAAATAGACTCTGGTACCAGCTCAGGGGACTCTCAATTACATGGTATCACATTATCTCTGGAATTAATTTGCAATCATATTAGAAAAACAAGTGCTTACTCTGGGCAGATAAACTGCTGTCCATGGAGCTTTAGTTTGATCCTACTTGTGCTGTGAAGTGAGAGTAGTTTTGTGTACTTCAGCAGGGTTAGTCTGGGCTTGTACCTGCAGAAGATGAGGCAGAATGCAAACTACAGGCTTCAGGAAACAGAAGGGAATGGTTGGGGTCATGTCCAGAAAACTTTTGTTTGCTTAAGGGCTGCTTGACACTTGACACTGAATGTGAATAGTCAGAGCTGCAATTAAAAGTAGCAGTGGATCCACAAGACTGCGACTTTAGTGGCAACAGAAAGTAACCAGAGGTGACCAGGAGAGCACAGGAAAACACAGGGCAAGAGGACCAATGATTTCTGTCAGAGCTTTGTCAGTGTGGTGGTGTCCAAAGGGATGAGACTGCTGTTTCAATCCACATTCATCAGCTCAACACTGATGATGTTTTCTTTTCATGACCAAGGATTTTTTTCATATTCTCATTTGAGGACACCTTGGCACCTGACTCAAAGGGGTATTTATTTTCAGGTCAGCTGGATTTATTAATACTGATTTTTATACAAAAGATAAGGAATGCTAGAGATTGAGCAACAAAGAAAACAGTGCTCTTTTCTTTGTGACTCATGCCCTCCCCTCACCCCTGCACACTTCAGGGTCAAGGAGCCTCTGATATTATTTAAATATTTGCTTTGATGATGGTTCCTTTATGGAGGAAGCATTTAGAGATAGCACTTAAAGCAACACCACCTATGGAAATCCTGCTGTTTAACCAGATTCATTCAACCTGCTCCTTTCCCCACAATGGTTTTTAAGCTCTGTGTTGCACTCAGCAGTAAGACCACAGATGAGAATTTCTCCTTGGTTTTGTCCCACGTGATGATCTTCCTCCACCTCTGCCAATTCAGAGCATCTGCCAACTCGCTCAGCAAATACACTCTAAATCACCAAAACCTTCTTTGGAACCACTGAAACAGGGGCTGGTCTCTGTGCTCACAAGTTCTCCCAAAATTCAAAGGCCTGGGCTGTGTCCTCAGCCTGCACTTTTTGGGCAGAAGGGAAGGGAGGTCTGGCCAAAGCAAGAAAACAGCAGAGATATTCTCCTCTTGTGTTTGCAAGACACAAAGGATTGGCAGCACAGCTCAGGTTTGCCCAAGCACTTGGCTCAGGGCTGCTCCTGGTGCTGCTGCAGGGCTCAGTCTCCCCCCATGAAGCCTGCTCCCGAATTTAGCTGTTTGAATTTAAAGCCTGAAACAGTAAACCCAACATCTCAGTGCTTTTATCCACACATCTCACCCTGCTAAATAGGCTGAGAAGAGCTTTAGTCACGTTCCTGACCCCTGGATCTGACTACAAAGGCTACAAACACCTGCTCATCTGGAAAAACTCCTCAAGGTTAAAGGCCAGATCTTCCCAGCTTCCCCCCACCTGCCCCAGGTAGAGCATGGCTTTCTGGCAGGGCTTGGGGAGTGCTTCTTTGACAATTAGCAGTGCAGAGAAGCTCAAAGGTACAAACATGTAGCTGCAGTGCCCTGATTTGAGGGACATCCCTCTCTGTTGCTGGAGGAAACCATTTCAACCCAGGAACAGGGTAGGGAGATTAAAGATTGTCAAGAGCAGGGACAGGTTTGGCTCCCTGTTATCTTAAGAGCATTAAAGCCCTTATCTGTGGGGCAAGCTGGGGACTCCAACCAGGAAACTGTTCATTCCTTCAGGCTGAGAGAGAGAATTTTCATCCTTCCAGGCATTACACAAGGAAATATTAGTCGCTACCATTGAGAAGGAGCTATGAGCAGAGCTGAGCTAAGCTAAACAAAAGCAAACATCTTACCCACACCTAGGAAACACCTTCTGGGTGTTAAGCTGACCTTCAGTCCCTGGAAGAGCATCTCCAGCTCCAAGGCTCCCCAGGAGCCACCACCCAGGAGCTGAGACCCTTTCCCAGCCTCCATGGTGATGGGCAGCTGAGCTGGAGACAAGCTGATCAATAAACAGAACCAGCTCCAGGTGGGAAACTTAAATATTTCTGCCAACTAGCAGCAGCCCCTTGCTGTTATGTCAAGGTACATAAGCGAGGTGTTACCTTGCAACTCCTCCAAAGGAAAAACGCCTTCCATACTAATGCAGTTACGGCAAAAAAAAAAAAAAAAAATCATTATATGCAGATAAACACCCACTTTGTTGGCATCACCATGAAGCCAGCTTTGCCCCCTGGATCCCAGGGATAGGACCAGCCCTCTCAGGATCTTGGCCAAGTCCACCTGCCCCTGTGAGTCACCTCTAATTGCTGTGCACAGTTACAGCAAGCCCTGGCTGTGCAAAGGAGATCTGCATTCCTGTCATTGTTACACCAAAGTGAGTTGACTTAATAAATCTCATTAGGCAGGCATTTGATAGCAGTGAAAGCCAGGCAGAACAAGCCCTGAGCCTAATTCTCCTAGGCAAAGGGCATTTGTGTGTTCCACCACAGCTGGAGCCTGGTGAAGGCCCTGGAGGTCCTACCAGCCCCAGCTCAGATACCACAGCCGAGTCTCAAAGCACATGTGGGGTTTTTTCGAATATATTTGGCTGTTCTATCTTATTTGGGTCGTTAGACCCATGACTATTGAGACATCCCACAGCTCTGCAGTGATAAATGCAGTAAGTTTTGGCCACCACAACAAAAGCTGGGATGCCCATGCAAGGCCAAGGCTGGAGAAGTCTTTGTATGTTTGTTCTGCCCTAAGCACTGGTCCTGATGCAGCAGAGACATCTCCTGCTGAGAGAGGATCGGGAAAAGAAAACAAGGAGAGATGTGAGCAAAGATCTGCAAAAGCTCTGCAGGATCAGGGGTCTGAACCACACCACGTGGGAAGGCGGTCAGGGCTGGGAGTGCAGCCAGGGAGGTGCCCACGGCAGCAGAAACTCCAGGCAGAAGAAGCCAGGGTGGTTCTCATGCCTCTGCCTGGCTCGCCCCTTGTTTTTCCAAAAACACAGGGTGAAAACAATAGTCTTTTGAAAAGCACTAACCTTCTGGTGCCAAGCTGGGGGAGCCTCCCACACTGTGCAGGAGCAAACAAAGCCTCTGTGTCCTCCTGGAGCCCTGGCACAGGCAGCCAGCCCTGGCCTCGCCACCTGCTCCCACCCCATCTCTGCTGTCCCAGCCCCATCCCGGGCACCGAGGTGTGTCCCGCAGCACAGCAGAGGCACTGGGGCTGAGCCAGGCTGTGTGGGAGCAGGTGTGGCGGGGGTGTTTCTCCATTTCCAGCCCAACACTGCTCAAACTGACAGCAGGGAAAGCTCTGCTCCCATCTCCTGTGCCGGGAGAGGCGGCTCCGTGTGCTCGCTGTCTTGTCAGGAGAGCTGCCTTGGGAAGGAACAGTTGCTGGGGATGGCTCGTGCACATCTTGTAAGCTGTGCTGACAACAGCTCTTGACAACTCCTACCATCAACTGCAACTCTCCCAGAGCTTCGTGTTTGCTTCAAGGCCCGGGTCCAGAATTCATTCAGTCCGTGGGGAATTGGGAAGGAAGGAAGAGGAAGGGGGAGCAGAAGGGGGTTTCTAGCTGCTCTGATCAAAGGGACAAGTGAAAATGAGGTGTCTTAAGGCTCCAGCAGTAAGCACTGAACAAAAAGAATGAGAATTTTCAAAATAATAAAAAAAAAAAATTCAGGAATTTTAAGCTGGTCTCATGAATTCAGAAGCCAACTCAGTATCAAAATTTTTGATTTGGTGAAGTTGCAACAACAAGGGAGGAAAAAAATCGTGTGTGACTCCAAGTGGGTGTTTTCAAACAGCATCTTGTTTGGGGAAAATAATCCTCCTTGCTTTGTTTTCTCATGATGCTGGAAATAATTCTTTATCTCAGAAAGAAGAATTGGGGTTTTATTTTTGTATCTAATCATGGGAGCTGCCTCAGGTCACACCCAACCACAGCTGGTCCCCCCATCCTTGCTAGCACTGGCAGGAGTCACCACTGCAAAGTGTTAAAGAAACACGTGTGCAGGTCCAAAATCACACATTTCATTTAGCAATGAAGAAATCAGGCATGAGGAGCCTTGGCCGAAGGTGTGTGGGGCTGAGTCCAAGGGCAGTGAGGGAGGCAGCAGGGATCCCTGGGCAGCAGCATCACTCCCACTGCCAG